TTTGCTGCTTGCTGTACAGACTACCACCGGCTGGCTGGTTCGCTCTGTAAGTAAGGCTTTTCCCTATTAAATACCCTTATATTTCTACCTGACTCCGTATTGGTGATTTCCCACTATAAAGTTCCAATAGACAGTGTTAACAAAAATGTCCCAGTATATTGTTGAGTAGCCCACCAATGATTCAGCAGACCATATAGTATGGGTGGAATGAAGAGCAATGGGGAGTCCACCAATTGCTTAATTCTGACGATGCAGTTTTCTTTAAAACATTGATGTATTTCTGGTTTCATGAACAGTATATTTATTATAGAGATATAAAAATATACACACAATGTACCATTTAGAAAAATACTACAAAAAATTTAAACATTTGTACAATATTTCTAAGTCCATAGTCTTTTGGGGGCCTGGAGAAATGGCTCAGCACTTAAGAACACTTCCTACTCTTGCAAGGGACCCCAGTTTTGTTCCCAGCATCAATACCTGTTAGCTCACAACCACCTGTAAGCTCAACATTGATTGATCCAACACCTTCTGAACTGTGCAGATACTCTACAGATGCCTACCCTCTGTTCTCTCTCTCTCTCTCTCTCTCTCTCTCTCTCTCTCTCTCTCTTTTTCATACACACATACACATTCACTCATACTCTCATAATTAAAATAAAATAATAATAAAATAACAGTTTGGTTTTTCATAATCTTTTATGAATGGATCAGTACAGTACCATCATTTAAGCACAGTCTGAGTTAGTATTTAATAATTTATATATAATATCAAAATGGGGCAGTATATATCCATAAGGAGACATTATTTTTATAGTTCTTAATGATTTGTATCAATATGAAAACTATAGGTAGATCTCTGGGTCATCCAGGCTCTGGGTTCTGGCACTCCAGGCAGTGTCAGGGGTGGGCTTACTCTTGAGGCATGGGTCTGAGGCTAGACCAATCATTGGTTGGCCACTCCCAAAATCTCTGTGCCACCCTTACCCTAGCACATCCCACAGGCAGGGCAGACTGTAAGTTGAAGGTTATGTGGCTGGGCTCATGTCCCAGTTCTTCCATTTGAAGTTTTGCCTGGTCACATGTGATGGCCAGTTTAGACTGCATGTCTGCTATTGCTAGGAGTCTTGACTGGGGCCCTCCTTGTAGATTCCTGGGAGTTTCCCTTGCATCAGGTTTCTATCTGACCCCAAAATGCACCCCGTTGTCATCTTTTTCAGTAATCTTCCCCTCCATCCATCCCCAACCTATGTTCCCATCCCTACCTACTGGTGTCCACCCATGAGATGTCTTCTATTTCCCCTTTCCAAGGAGATGCAAGTGTCCTCTCTTGAGCATCTCTGGGCTCTGGATTGTAGCATGGTCATCCCGTACTTTACAGCTAATATCCACTTCTAAGTGACTACATACCATGCTTGTCTTTCAGGGTTTGGGTTGCATCATTCAGGATAATTTTTTTTTCTTTTCACATCCATTTGCCTTCAAATTTCATGATGTCATTATTTTTAACAGCTAAGTAATACTCCACTGAGTAAATTCACCACGTTTTCTTTATCCATTCTTTGGTTGAGGGACATTTAGGTTATTTTCAGGTAACAGGTTTTCTCCCAAGGTTGGTACCACTGGGAAATGGTGCAAATACAACTTCCCTTTCTGTAGCAGCTACACAGAGGGCTACACCGCTAACTGGGCATTGTGATTTAATGGTCCAGCTGAGAAGGGATAATGATGTAATTTTTACCCTTCTTCTTGGCATCTACGGAATTAATCTGTTAATGGAGAAAACCCTATATGGGTGATGGACACAACATAATATTGCTTATTGGCCGGGCAGTGGTGGCTCATGCCTTTAATCCCAGCACTTGGCAGGTGGATCTCTGTGAGTTCCGAGACCAGCTTTGTCTACAAAAGCTAATTCTAGGACAACTTCCAAAGCCACAGAGAAACCCTGACTCCAAAAAAAATTACAAATTAAAAATAATATTGCTTATTGATGTAAAAGCAAGAAAAATAAAGTAAAATAAAAAATTTTATCCAGCTAGATGGTAGTGGCACATGCCTTTAATCCCAGCACCCAGTGGGCAGAGGCAGATAGATTTCTGTGAATTCAAGGCCAGGAAATTACAGGACAGTCAGAGCTGGTACACAGAGAAAACAGGTAGGGAAAAACAAAAACAAACAAACAAAAACCAAAGCAAAACCAAAACAAACCACCGCAAAAAGAAAAGAAAAAACAAAACCTTTATCTAGATTTACATATCCAGGATCAAGGAAAGCTACTAAGTTTGTAAACCCCACTATTATGTAAGTCCACAATGTATACTGGTGTATATATTTTCCACGTTACTTTTTTTTCTGCCGCCAGGACAGCATTTAGAGTGAAGGAAGGGGATGTGCCTTCTCCTGCTCAGAGAACCCTCTCCTCCTGGGTAGAGCCCATTTCCTTTGTCCATGAATGTGCTTCCCTGCCTAGCACAGCTGCAATGTAGCCATGCAAGCTGTGTGCAGCTTAGCTTGCACAGCTTCTCTGACTACACATGGCAAGTCCAGGGATAGTCATGTGACCATGTTGAGCCCCCTACCTAGAATATTAGAAATAAATAATTAGGTCATTCTCTTTCTTTTTTGACTAGCTTTCTCAAAGCTCAAAGACCTGTTGGCAGGCATATTTTAGCACATGCCTGAGGTACAATGGCAACCAGAATGCAGAAAGAAAGAACAAAGCTGTATCAGAAAGCAAAGACGAAAAGATTGTTTCGAGCCCAAACATTTTCCTAAGCCCTGCTGCACTCTATTGCTACAGGGAATTCTGTAGCAGCTCTGGTGGGGCCCTGCTCTTGGTTGAAAATTAATAGCGTATGAGTTCATTCATAAAAGCCCTCCATGACTCTCTACTCCGTCTCTGCCTCTACACCTAGCCTCTACACCTAGCCGCACTGTACTCTTGTCAATTTGCTAGTTTTATCCTGCCGTCTGTTTATCCAATTGCTCTGTCTTTCCTCCCTCCCATTCCCATCTGCACTAATTCTCGGCTTAAAATACTCTTCTTCATAGACATCTATGCGTCGTGGCCTGCGGTCTTTGTAAGATCATTTTGCTGTCTTCCCAGCATTCCTTATTCTATTCTGCTGCTAATTTTTCAAATGGTGTCTTCTAAGGAATTGCCCGCGTTTTATGAGTTCTGTGTTTCAGGAGGTCCTGGAGGATTCTGGCCACAGTGGCTTTGTTCATAGCTCACTGATGCATGTGGACCCTGTACAGCACAGTACCTCACTGTACTGAGATAGACAGTAAATGTTGTTCAATAAAACACTGGTGTGAGTGTAAAGATCCTCAGATTTAGCTCAACTGGGTCTCTAGGTTAAACAAAGACCTTCAATAGCCTTCCAATTAACAGTTTACCTAAGTTAAAATATTAACTTTTCCCAAGGGATAAAAACTCTCTTACAAGGTTCCTAAGGATGCTAAAATGTGTGTGGATCCGTGTGCTCCATCTTTTCCCCCAGTCTTTTCTGGATCAGTTCTTCTTTCCCCAATGCCAATAACAGACTTCACAAAAATAATTTTATTTATAAAGGGAGAGGACTTGACTGTAAATGAAATTATATGGGCTCCTTCTCCTTCCTCTTCAATGTCTATACCCATGATGCACCTTCTGCAGAAAAGTTCTGCTTCTGATGACTTTACTCACAACACCTTTGGTTTTTTTTGAAGGGGGGTTCTTTTTTGTTTTTGTTTTTTAATGGTTTCCTTCCTTCCATTTCATTTGGCTGGAACCGTAAGCGATTAAGAAGTTAAACCCATAGACTGGCTCTCAGTTTCCTTATCTTAGAAATGACTGGGTTATAGTCTCATTACTTTTTAATTTCTTGTAGTGGCTGAATTCATTTCTCAATAAAGCTCCTTTGTGAAATCTGATATTAACATTAGTGGACATTTTATGATAGATAAAATCTCTCTCTCCCACTGAACTAAAAAGCACTTTGGAATCTGGGAGAGGAAAGTGCTCTTTATTGCACAGCTCAGACAGGCCAACCTCTGGACACCTTGGGATCACCAGGACCACTTCTTTAAACCTAAAAATGAAAGGAGTTGTCTTAAGTATCTACATCAAAATAAAAATAGTTATCTTAGCTGTCATAATTTGATCACATTTG